AATGTATGTAAATGTTTTCTTAGCCATGCTATCTTGTTTGTCTAATTTGCATATTATGCTTAATGATAGTTTTCGTTTTTTCGGAAACCTGGGTTCAAGAATTCAGGGCCTGGTTTGCCTTTTTAAGGGTAAACAGATTGTCAGACTATTGCACTTTACAGTAAGGTCTGTGTAACATTAACCTGGCATGCCATCGCCATCTGGATTACAATTTATATAAAAGGAAAGATAACATGGGTTGGTTGCTTCAAACATTATGCCTACAGTGTTGAGCGTGACTCAACAGTGCTCAGAAACATCAAAATAGAACATTTAAGTGCTGAAATGAAACAAGCCTGCAGAGCAACTTCAGCCTGACAACTTAAGTGGTGCTGTGTTCTGACCTGCCAATGTCTTGGCTGAATTTGTGGAGTGCCATTACCAACTGGAAAGTCCATTTAAGCTGTCAAATAGAGTCGCTAAATCTTTGCCGCTACTGCTTCCTGTGCAATCACACTGCACCAGTTTGCTGCCATCCACTTGTGGATGCATCCCGAGTCAGTTAGAACTGATTTTCTCCATGCTCTGTTGGCAAGGAGATAGAGCCGTATGGCCGTATGCCAAAATTAAATCTGTTTTCACATTTATTCTAAATAAGACACAAAGTCTCCATCTAAAATGCAATTAAAAGCAAAATTAGGGAAAGAAACAGAATACATTAAATCTAGTTATAATGAACTTTTTGTCCATTTTAAACAAAAACACAGTAGGATGAAGTGACTTCATCAAGGAGTCTATCATGTCAAGTGACAGCAAAGGATTACTATGTTAAAGAATACATGTGTGACTGTATATGAGGACTTATCATAAGGAGGTTAGACTGGAGAATGATGAATAACGATCAATCATACGAGTTTCAGTTGTGTGCCTTTCATCTCCATGACTGTATTGAAAGCTACTCAAACCTATTAGATCATTTTAAAACACAGTGCCACGTACAATCACCTGGCCAAAACACTATCAGTTCTCTCATGCTCTGCCTGAGGACACGCAATAAAGTAAACAAAAGGAAAAAAGGAACAAAGATGACAAGAACAAAATGGATATTGTTCTGAGATCAGAGAGGATACTTTGCTGAGCAAGCCAATAACGTGAGCTAGAATGGCTCTGAATTACATTGTGTGTGTTGCAGCGGAAAATGTAACAAAGATGACTTGCTGGACTCAGCATTACAGGACCATAAGGCCTCAAAAGACCTCAAGTGTTTTCAGTTTCACCTGTAGTCAGATGTTGCATGATGAAGCATCTCCTGCCTGTCATAATAGTGACTATAAATCACATACAGTTTGGGTAAATTCTAGCTTACTGCCAACAGCTAGCTCCAAAAGCTTTAAATAAATTGTATTCTTAACAGAGGAACATGGAAGAAGGCCATCGCCCCAGAGGAGACCTGTGACTTAAGGCCAGTGGTATTAATGTTCGTGGGAATTAAGGCGTTTGAGAGACTGATCAGGACTCAGCTGGCAAATTGCCTACAGGGCAAACAGAGAGGTCAATGATGCAACCGCAACTTCTCCATCTCTAACTAACTATCTCTATAAATGATTAATGGTATAATAACTCATGCAAGACTTTTACAAATTGATTTCCTCCCCTTTTATAAGGTCTATATTTTAAATAACAAAAAACTACATATTTTAAATTTTGATATCCAGGTTGTGAGATGAATTTCAGACTGGCTCACTTATAGATATCAGATGGTAAGGGAGAAACATATTCTGTTCTCCACAGGCTTCCCACACAGTGGTGTCCTGTCCTCGCAACTGTTTATTCTCTACACCAATGAGTGGAAAATATTTAAAAACAAAGACTCTTTTATTGAAAAGACAAACATCACTCCTACCTTCTCTGAGGAGTGTTGCAATATATTGACGAGAAATTGAACTTGGATAAGAACACTGAGGCAATATGCTAGCACAACAAAGACTGCACAACTATTTCTGCTGAGGTTACGGTAAATGTTTTTACAGAAATGACGGGCAGACCCCAGTAGGTGAGGGTGGGCGGACACACTTCTTCCACCCTCATCCCTAACACCAGAGCACCCCAGGACTGTGGTTTGTACTCCCTGTACACACGACTGTGTTGCCACTTCTAACTTCAACACCAACACAGTTGTGGTGGGTCTGATCACAGGTAAAAATAAAGCTTCCTTTAGGGAGGCCACCTGAAAGAAGTAGAGGTACTGAGGAATTTCTACTCCTGCACCACAGAGAGCGTCCTGACAGGGAAAATCACTCCCTGGTACGGAAACAGAACAGGACCTGAGAAAACGACCCTGAAAGGCCCTGAAAAGAGTGATTTGTTCGGCTGAATGTACAATGGGTGGTGCTCCACTATGCCTAAAGGATATTTACACCAAGTGTTGCAAGAATAGGCTAGGAGAATCAATAAGGATCCCAACCATCTGGATAATAGCCTTTTCTCTCTGCTGCGGTGTGAGAAGAAGGTACCAGATACACCAGTCCAGCACTCAGGAAGAGTTTCTGCCCTCAGGCCAGTAGGATCCTAAATGAACACTGCGAGACAAGAATCATCTGGACAACATTGTGAATATTGGTGAGTTACACAGCCTTCTTTTTCCAAGATTTTTATTTATTTACACTGAAAGCTAAATTGCATCATGACAAATCTAAAACATCGTCTCTTTAAGGAATTTGACATCCCATCCTCCTGGTCAGAGATAACAGTTTCTGAAAAGTATAAACCATTTATGGCTCTTGGTTCCCCATAAAGCTTTGCACTTTGTCTTATTCCTATTCTTATTGTCACTGTTTTTCTTTGCTTTCATCACATAATCCGTTGCTGCATTCCGTTTCACATGTCTAGTACCAGCACTTTGAATGTCTTTAATGCTCTTACTGTCTTATTTTGTTTTTATTGCGTTTATGTTTTGATGCTGCCTTGCTCCAAAAAGAATTTCCCCTTGTGGGACAATGAAGAGCTGGGCTGAACAAAACTGAGTTTTACACATGGTATTATAATATTTTATGAATTATGGAGTTTTCTATTTTATTCTATTTCTATTTTTTCTATTATGTTAAAACAAGAATCTGGCATCAATAAAAGATTTTCCCTTGCCTAATAATAATCATTGATTTTTCCTCTGAGGTCATTGTGTTCAGGTCATCTGAGGTTTGGCCAGTAGTGTATGTCAAGCAACCCAAGTTTCCGTCTTGTCAATAAAACTCTAAGGATGCTACATTGGAGTCATAAGCAAACACCGATCTAGAAATAGCTTTTCTCCAATGTCAGGATGACAAAGACAAACTTTCCACAGCAACATCTGGGAACAGAATACATGAATACGCCCACAAACACACAAAATACACACTCACAACAAGAAAGACACAAAGAGAGAGAGAGAGACAGTGAGACGGGGGGCTCACCTGGCCTCTTTGTTATGTAAATTGATTGAATCAATATGACAAATGCACTGTAAAGGGGAAAATACAATGCTTTTTCATCTCCACCAGCATAAATCCTCAACCATTGGTCTTATCACCACTCCCAGCCATGAGCAAAGACCTGATTAATGGCTGCCACGTGTCACCTACGTAAATCGTCAGGGCACGCTTGGTTGCATATGAATGGACAGGGTGTGAAATGGATGGCAACACGCAGAACAGAGGGCTCAGGGTTTCCACTTTTGAGTCTACAGAAGCTTGGAGGCACTATCTCAGATGATTTATCTGGCTCTTTTCTTTAAAGGATTTCTACAGAAAACTCTTTTATTTTCAAGAAAGGAGACAGACTGGATTTTCTATCAAAACATTAAAAATCTAAAAAGATGTTTTAGAATATGAACATTCAGTGCATGACTTGTGTTACTAAACAAAACACAACATGACTAAGAGGCTACAGCCAAGCTAGCAGCTCTGTGACACTGTACTTAGGCACAGTAGTGCTTTGAGCTAAATGCTAATGTCAGCATGCTCACAATGACAATGCTGACATATAGAAATATAGTTTATTTATGTCTACCATTTTTACAATTGCTTTTATATTACTGTAAATTTTCTGCTATGTAGCAGAAGGGAGTTACAGACTTAATTTCACTTTACAACCTGTTGAAATGTGACAAATTAACCTACCTTGTACCTTGTATACTGTATTTCATGAGTGCAAGTTGCTTTATGTATTAGTTAATGCACCTTTAGATTCAAAATTGTACTTTGCTACTTTGCTGATGTGGACTGACTGACTGCGTAACAGCCACATGGCCACTCAGTGTGCCTACCATTACCTCAGGCTGATCATCAGTGTCTGGTTGGTTACTTTATTCCAGATCTGTACATGTCCATTCATTCTGTGATGTAATACTTTCTCGTGACAGGAAGCCATTTGATTATCACATAGCTTCTGTCAGGTCCTGCAACATGAGGGGACATGTCAGGCCACGCAGATGGCTTTTTTTTTGACATAATAATGTTTTGACATGCTTATGTTTTACCCTTAAAATGCTTTCCTCTCTCTAGTGAGGCCTTTTGTGATTTTCACAAAAATTAAAAGATATTTTTGACATCACAATTTCCTTTATTTTTCCTTCTTTTGTGAAGATTGTAGTCTATTTGATTTGGGCAAGCATACACTCAGAAATCTCTAAGGACTGTAGCATCTTCATGTGAAAGAAGAAATTATTCATAATTATATTGTCTCTTTACAAATTACAAATATGTGACCCAGTATCTTAATGTAATCTGTATATATAATATAAATGTGTATAAAATAATTACACAACACCATGGAACTTATAATATGCAAAGAAATACTGTCGATTGTCCTTAAGAATAGTTCAGTGTACTTCAAAGGCTATCTGAGGAATCTGGACTCAAATCTGCACTATAACAACACACACTCAGAATCTAGCATGCATGCAAAAGAGGTCACAACTATCTACTACTTAAGACAACTGTGACGGCAAAAGAGAGAAAGAATTTACAAAGTCTCTATTGGTCCATCCTTAATGCCAGATTATATCAGGATTGCATGAGACATCTGCCATGCAAAGAGCTCAGTAAACTGCACAATATGACTTGTGAATGTCACAGATGACAAAATTAATCTGTTCAACTAAGACGTGGAGAGAGAGCGTTTTAGATGTCTTCATATGTTTGGTATGCCGCAATAGAATTAAAAGGACTGGGAGTTGTTATAGGTGGGAACTCTTCACTTTCCTTGTTGGTAAGATAGTATGTTTATTATAACTGAATAAAAATAATTATTTAGATTGTGATTATGATTGAAATGTTGTTACAATTAAGGCTTTTTAGATGCATTTTGATTGTAAAACCAGTACCTTTAATGAATGATTAAGTTAGAAAAGGAAACTGTACAATGAACGATAGCCCACAATGAACTCTGCAGTGTTGAGGACCTGTCCTGTACCTCAACCTGGAATCTGACCTCCAGGGCAGTGGGAAAAAAGTAGGAGAAATTTCCTGTGGGGTTCAATAAAGTATCACAATATTACATTAAATTATTGTGCACGTTTCATTCAGGGCATAGCCTACTTATCAGCATATCATTGATATCATTGATCTATCACTGCACAGAGACTAGTATATTTAGACAGTACATTTTCTTAAGATGACAGTTTAGTATTACCCATATACCAGAACATTCAAATAAACTTATGTTAAAATAGTACAAGTGATAGTTTTAGTACTATGCATGACATTAGATGTCGCAGAAGTAATAGTAATAGCACTAGCAGAAAAACAAGCAGCAGTGGCAGTGCCATAATAGAATTACATTAGATCCTTTTCATATTTTATTTTGGGGGGAAAATAAAAGCTTATGTCGTCTAACAGACGGTTCAGGATTCCACAGCTTAGATTTAACAGGCTCCCAGAGGTCATTCCCTTCACAATCCATTAAATTACAAATACATGTTTTGTGAATGTGCTATGCTAGTCAGTCTGAGTTCCCTCCACTGTAGCTGTAATTTTTCCTATAGTGAGACGGGCATATGCCTGACGCTGCTCTGTATACTGACCACAGCAGCTCCGCAATCTGTTCACATCCTTGTCCTGATGATACATAGAACAGAAAACGAGAGGAGAATCATAATATTATCATTAATATTGTCACGGAAACTACAACAAAAAGTCAATTCATAGGGGATTTGCTTTAATCTGGCTGGGTTTAACGAAGGCAGGATTATTTACTGTTATGCAGGAGGCTTTAGGTGTCACATGTCCATGGAGTCTAGGATAGGGCTCTACATCAGAGGGAAACCTCTTACATCCTTTTGCCCTCCAACTGACCAGATTATAGTTTACTTTAGTGATGACAAACTGATACTGAATGACCAGGATTTGAGTCCATCTAGCCACACAAAATACATAAACACAATGTTTTTGCAAACCTCACTCACACACAGCAGCAATGCCCAGACTATGCATTTACTGTTTAAGCAGGTACAAAATGCTCTCATAGTCAGTTCAAGTTTTCCAATTTTTTTTTTGCCACCAAACACTATAAAACACATATCACAGCAGGGGGAGGGAAAAGGTGTTTGAGTGACAAGACCCAACAGACAAGCAGTCTAAAATATTTTTCTTTATAGATGATCAAAAACTAATGTGACCTCTTGTCGGTATATGGTGTTAAAATTGGATGCCATTACATGTGAGATTGTCAGACCAGATTCAGCTCATTTATGCTCGGGAAAAAAGCAGGTGTCTTTCCTCAGATCAAATATAATCCAACAATATTACACTGTAGTTATTAATTGTTGTAAGCGGTTCTCGGAAAGAAAAGATTCATCCACAACAGACCTTAACAACTGGCTGCTCTTTTCCTTTGTTAACTGATAATACAATGTCATGATTTGTGGTGCAATTACGTAATAATGTGTTCATTCCTTTCACTACATTAGAATTCAATACTCTCATCACATACTGGTAAAATGTACCATGTAAAGGTATTATAGTTTTTTTCAGGCAGAAATGGCATTTAGAGTAATTGAGGTTGTGAGGATACATGTGCCACCAATGGTAGAAAGTAATTAAGTATCTACTAGTATTTAAATATTTAGGGACACAAGATGCTTGTACTTTACATGAGTATTTCCATTTTATGCTACTTTAAACTTGTGCATCACTACATCTCAGCGGGATATATGATCCTTTTTACTATTCTACACTTACCTAGCAGCTACAGTATAATTGTTATGCAGATTAAAATTTTACTTACAGAATATAATCAGCTTCTATGATGCATATTCATAGTTTGAGCAAAAATGTGCACCACACTGATCAGCACATTTACTCAAGCAATAGTAGCAATAGACCAATATAACATGGACCATCGTGCAAATTCAGTATTTTTATTTTTTATACTTTGTATCAGTGGCTGATACACTTATTTTCTTTTACGTCAGTAAAATTTTGAATACAGGACTTTTACTTGTCATAGAGTATTTTTTCAGTTGTATTGTTATTTTTACTTAAGTAAATTATCTGAATACTTTCACTACAAGTCAGTTGTGTGCAAAGTTGTTCGTGTTAGTGTAACAGCACCACAAACTACATCCTCCTTACAGCTGAATTAAACAAAAACTGAACATTTTAACCTTCATGGAAGTAGGAGTATTGCAATAAAGTGCATAACTTTTGGCTGGGTGTAAGTTACCTAATAAACTTACAAGTGAGTGTAGGTCCAATGAACCCTTTCCAAAAAAAAAAGAAAGAAAGGCAGTCCATTTCATTTACTGAAGCAGTCACTACAGGGCTGCTCCTAACTAACTAACTAACTAACTAACTAGCTTGCTAACCAACTGCTAACCCTGCTGGGCTACACCAGCTGCCACCTCTACATATAGCATTTTCATAAGCAAGCTCACCTGTCAACATGTCCATCATGTGACTTCAGGACCTTTGAGGATCTTTGTTTGCTGCACAGCCATTCTCCATGAATTTTTTTTTTTGTATTTAACGTTATGCTACATACCGAAAGGGTTCATATCAGCTGAGGACCTCAAACTTGAAGTGTTTTTTTTCCGTCCTGCTGTCTCCCGCTTGGGGCTTCCTGCGACTTTTGAAATGGTCGTTTTGTGACGCACATGATCACTGCAACAACAAGGTAAGAGTTTACTTTCTGCTTGCATGAAGTATGCATTAGTTCAGGTTTTGGCTGTGTCCAGTCAGTGTTTGAGGACAATTTCATGAGGCTTCAGACCTCCCGCTGGCTGTGCAAGTTTCAGCTTTTATGTCGCTTTATGGAGTATTTGCACCAACTTTAATTGTATATTAAAATTAATTACTTGTTGCAGCAGAGGTCAACTCTCCTTTGGTGGTTGGAGACTTTTGCTTAAAGATGATTTCATGCTGTTGGTGAAGAGAGTGGTTTCAGTATTGTGAGTGACCTGACTTGAATTGGCTGACTATGTCATGTGCCATATTTCCTGTTGTTTGAGGCAGTCCTTAAAGATTTAAAGCGAAGTGGTCGACTCTAGTGGAGGTTAATGCTGCAAACTGACACAAAATGAAATGGCACATTTTCCATGCACTTCAAGCATTGGATATCAATCTAATTCAAAGCATAGGTTTGACACGTTCTCTTTTCCGGGCTATTGCTTGTAACCTTACGTTAGCATGGACTCTGATGTTTGACGTAGCCTAATGAATAAGAAGAGATCGGCTGCTCCTAATTTTTGTGTGTGTGTGTGTGTGTGTGTGTGTGATTTTAATATCCATCCATCCATCCATCTTCATCGCTTATCCGGGATCGGGTCGCGGGTGTTATTTTAATATTTGTTAGTTAATTATTTGCTACAAGGTGGGTCTCTTGGTTCAAGTGTGTCATCTCACTTAACTGATTATGCCACCAATTATTGCTTGTATTATTGCTGGGAGTAAGTGATCAGAGCCTGAGGCAGATATCAACTCCATAGCCTAATTGACATAATAAATCCATGTGAGATGGGTGGCTGAAATACCTTTTCCATATCCATACCTGCAGATTTTTAAACCCAAGACAAAACTTCAGTGTATTTATTGACACTTTTGTATCCAGCTGGAACTTTCTCAGAATTGCAAGGCTATAAAAACTGCATCTATAGGCTATATGAAAATGTATCTTTCATCCAAATTCAACCTTCCAGTATCATTTGTTTTGTTGTCTTTCTTTCTTTATATTTACTTGTATTTAAATCTGCATTGGATAGCCTGCTTTCTCTGTACATTGGTTGTAAATTTTTCTCTTAAGTTTTATGCTAAATTTGATATCTTTGGACAGTTAGTTGAAGACATCATCTTGGGCTTTAGGAAATAGTGCTAAGCCATATTTCGATGTTGTATAGATGATTAGTTGAGAGGATAATGGTTGATTAATCTATAATGCAAATAATAATTTCTAAACATCAAAATTGTGACATCCAAGCAACAAGTAGGCTAAGCCTGCAATATATTAAGGAGAATTTCTGATTTTACAGAATTGTATTTAAAAGCTCTGAAAACATCAATCAGCTTCTTAAGGTAAGTTATAGAGTCCAGGGCAACTAAAAGTTATTTGCATTATCAATTTATCTGCTGATTATTTTGTCATTTAATTGTTTGGTCTATAAAACATCAGAAAATAGTGAAAATAATTCATCACAATTTCCTAAAGATTCAGTTTACTGCGACGCAAGAATCTGGAACTATACATTTTTTCATTTTTAGCTTGAAAATTTACCTAAACAATTTAGTAATTATCAAAATAGTTGCAGATTCATTTTTAGCTCTTACATCCTACATCCTATTGTTTTCTACCAAAGTTACAAAAGTTATGGTTATATCACATGAGAGATTTCTTTTTATCCTCCATTCACCAATCAGGATTAAGAAACATTTGACTTATGATCTGATTACAATTGTTGGGTTGTTTGGTCACTGTCAGTCCAATCTGATCAAACCACATCCTCACAGTCCTGATGAAGCATATTAGCTGAGATTTTAATTGTTAAACTACTAATAAATAATACCTAAAGATTTTTTTGTTGTTAAATTAGTCATGAATATTTAGTGTTCCAGAGGAATACTGAAAATTTGAAATCAGTTTTTTAAACTGGATTGTAAGCTAATATCCGGACCTCTCAGAAAATACCCTGTTTTGTTTGGTATAAAATCCTGTGGATCAGTTCAGTGTACGAATCAGGCTCGGTGCACATTTAAAAACAAAATTTGTTGTCTCCGACCTTAGGTGGATCAGTAGGAGGATGACAGATTTCCCTTTGCCCCTTCACTTGTTCATATTGTAGGCTGGCATTTCTGGGAAAATATTATCCTGGCTTGTTCAGACAGATTAATGTTGGAGAGTAGAAGAGAGGGACTGCTAAAGGGATATTGTATGTTGTCGTTGCTGCAGTTATAAGATAATCTGCTGATCGAGACCTCTTAAGAGGACCCCTGCTGCATGTTTGTGGGATCAAAGTCAGTCAGGGGGAGGGTTGCAGAGATTGAAGATCTGTAGCTTCTCAAGGGCGATTCATCCAATGTTGAGTTTGTCATGTGTTTCATATCATAAAAAAATGTAGAACAAGACAAGAACCTTCGGATAAAATGTATACATATAATTCTTATGAAAAACCTGAGATATGACAATGGCTAAATTGCATTTGTGAATGCCAATGAAGATAAGTGATTATTAGAAAGGCCAAAATATTTACTTTTTCAGTGAATTCTACTCCTGCCCTGTAATGGATCAAATATCCTTCTTCCTGCAGTTAGTCAGCAGTTTATACCGCTATTATCTCTCTATTAGCTCTAGATTGTGAAGATCAATTGGATTGAGGCAAACCTGTGGTGCTCTGTGCCTTTCTAATCATTTTAGTCCCCTCATGGATGCGTACTGATACTTTACTCTGTGCAGATGTTTGGGGAGTTTTAATCCTGTTGTATATGTTGTTGTGTATAGGAATGCAACAGAATAGATCATACTGATAAATTAATAATGGCTGTAAATAAATTGACATTGGCTGTAAAATCTTATCATTCAACTAGGCGGTCGCATTGAGAATTAAATACTGTGTTTTCTATAACAACTAAATGGATTTTCACATTATTTAGTCTCTCTGGAAGGACTTAATGGTTTCAGAATGTGCAAAGTTAATGTGGTATGTTATGGACTGTCAGACCTAGTCATCTATAAACATAATCACACTTCTTGACTCCACAGACAAAGACTGCGTTTTCCTCTGTCTCACTCTTTGTTTGTATTTACAGCAGATTTTGGGGTTGTGGGAAGGACAAGAGAGGAGAGTAAAGATGCAGTAATGGGGGGGAAAATCCTTTGGGTGTAATTGATGGAAAGATGTGTTCCATGAAGGAGATGACAAACACCATCTGTTGACAGTTCATCGATAGGCGTTTTAGGCGGTGGAGGCAAGGCAGCATCACGACACAACACGAAGGACCGGTAGATGATGAGTGAAGGTGGCTAACATCATAATATTAACATTTCTCATTTCTCATTGAGAGAGAGAGAGAGAGAGAGAGAGACCTTTAACCCTTACCGTGAAGTCAGCCCAGACGTCCAGCAGTCATATCTGAGGTTAAACGCTGTGTGAAAGCGAGGTGCTTGGGAAAGGCTAAAGTGACTCACCTCACATCTGGGTACTGCATAAAAGTCTTCAGCATGAGCCCTGCGGGAGAAGCTGCTGCATGCAGCCTGATTGGTACGACAGTTCATGTGAAGGTGCTGAAAGGATCAATAGTTCAGTCAACTGAAAATTAATCAATGAAAATGATGTCAAATGTAAAAACTTGTTTGTGAAATATTTTCAGATTTTCCAGTTTTAGTGTGTCCAGTCAGGCTTTATTATAAAACGAGGAAGGAAACAAACTTATTGAGAGTGTCACTTTGGGATCTGGTAACTTGTGATGGACACGTATCATTATATTTGGCACAATAAATTTGCTGCCGAGGAAATTTAAGATATTTTTAGCTAAATTGATAATGACTAACTGACTTTAAATTACATTTAATTAATTGACATACCCTATGATTCAAAGGTGTTGTTCAGTGTGTCTTTCTTGGCCAAATTTGTCCATTTTGATTGACAAAAAAGTCAGAGATGGCTGGAGTTGTAGGATCTGGCAGATACAATTGATATTTGTTATCATACATTTAGCCATCGCAATTAAGATTCAATGGTGAAATTGTCACATCAAAAGTATATACATCTACGTATCTGGATAACATCCAGCACCCAGACAATTAGCACTGGCGCCCTTCAGGGGTGTGTGCTCTCCCCACTGATCTACCCTCTAGTGTAGAGCGAGAACCCGGGAAGTCTGGCTGGGGTCACACAAAAATTATAAAAATTATGTTAGGTTTTGGGTCGGGTTCGGTCACGTAGGCTAAGTTAGTATACTTGCTAACATAGTGCTTCAACTACTTTTTATTGACAATGTAAAAATAAATTAAAATGGTGGACCTACTGTCTGTCACTGTGTTGCACTTCTATCTTGCTGTTTAGTGATGGGGTTTGATATTTACGTCACTTACTTGGCAGCAACGCCTGAACGCAACACATAGGCTACACAACAATTGCGTGATTGCATCAGGCTCAGGTCTGCATACAGACGGAATATCGAACAGCTGGCTCTCTGGTGCAGTCAGAACAACCTGAATCGTAACACGCTCAAACAGCGGAGGTGACAGTGGACTTTAGGAGGAGCCCCCCACCACCATACTCAACAGCCTAAGGAGCTGCTGATCCACTTCTACACAGCCATCATTCAGTTCGTTCTCTGCATGTCCATCACTGTCTGGTTTGGATCTGCCACTTAATTGGACAGGGACAGGCTGCAACGGACAGTCAGGACTGCAGAATAGGTCCTTGGTGCCACCCTGTCCTCCATTCAGGATTATACCTGTCCAGAGTGAGGAAACGGGCAGGAAATATCATTGCAGATCCATCTCACCCCGGACACAACCTGTTCCAGCTTCTCCCCTCTGGTAGGCGCTACAGAGCACTGTACACCAAAACAATCAAGAAGCAGTCTCTTCCTCAGGTCTTTGTGTCTGGAGATAACTGTTCATCAGAATGATGCATCACTCTGATAAACAGTTGACTTCAGACACAGTGTCAGGAACAATCTCTGTACAGTAACTTTGTAACTCTGACTCTTAACACCTACCTGAACTCTATTTATTATTATTTATTCGTCATTTTTTAAATTCAGTAGCCATTTATATTGTATATACTGTATATACCATATCCTGTCCTATCATGTACATAACACCGGCACAAAAATAATTATTCCATCATTTGCACTACACTTATTGTGCTGTCTTGCTGTCTACAAATGCTGTTTTTGTTTATGGTGTGTGTACAGTATGTGTGTGCTGTACACTGTAGTCTGTGTCTGCTTCTTGCTGAGCAGTTTTTGTTTATGCTTGTTCTGTGTATGTACATCGTGAGCAATGTAAGACCGGAGTCAAATTCCTCGTCTGTGTACACGTACCTGGCCATTAGGGCTGATTCTGAACCTGATTTATTGTGACACAAAACGTTATTTCTGTTCAGCCAAGCTGACGTTTATCATGGACAAAACCTCTCAAACCTTGCATGAGACAGTGAGGTCCCTGAGCAGCTTCTTCAGCAACAGACTGCTGCACCCACAGTGCAGGAAGGAGCGCTACTGCAGGTTCTTCAGACTCTACAACTCAGCAATGACGTGCAAATGTGCAATTGTACATGTCAGTATATAAAGTATTAACCCTAAACTATACTGCTAAATATATTTTTGTCCTGTGCAGTCATATTTATTTTCTACATCATGTACACTATAGTGTATGTATAGATTCTTAGTCTTATTTGGTCTATGTCTACTATGTTGTGTATTTTTCAATTCTATTTTGTTATCTAATTTGGATTTTCTTATCTGTTGTGTTTAGCTGCCATAACAAGTGAATTTCCTCCATGTGGGATCAGTAAAGTCTATCTTATATTATATTATCTTAAAACACCAGATACTGTACATTATGGGGATTTGTATGGAGGTAGATCGGTGCCAAAAACATGGAAAATGGACAGACTAAAAGTCACAAACAGATATTACAACTTGTAAACACATAACACAATCTACAAATAGATTAAAATTTGCAAACAAAGTTCTCATGATCCACAAATATAAAGCATGATATACAAAAATATTAAAAATCTACAAATAAACACATCATGATTCACAAATAGAAATCAGTGACTTGTACTTGAAAACCAGAATTTGAATGAATGTAAAGTGATTTGTTTGCAGGTGAATTTCATGTTCTGTTTATAGATTGTGTCACATTTGTTTTCAGAATTTTGGCACTATTGTTTCGCTGTGGTGACAGAACAATGCCATAATTGTTGAAAATTAAGAGACTATGAGTCAAAAATGCATATTACAATTTGTAAACACAAAACAAGATCTACAAAAAGTTTTAAATCTGCAAACAAACTCTTTATGATTCACAAATAGAAATCAGTGACTTGTTCTTGACAACCAGAATTTAAATGAATTCATAGTGATTTGTCTGTGCATGAGGGTCATTATTTGTTTGTAGATTGTATTGCATTTATTTTCTGAATTTTGGCACAACTGTTTTGCTGTTTTCCCATTAAAAATTCTACAAATGCCCTCCTCACAATTTGCAAACAAACGCAGTCAAACTTGTATTTTCAAACCACTGTAAAAAGACATTCTTACACATTCTGTGCAAAGCTCAGCATGCAAGTGTTGAATCTGTGTTTGCAGATCACAGGGCATTCACAGATCCCTCTGCACATGTCTACAGATCATTTTGGGACTATCTTTCCGCAGAGTGTGTGACTACGATCCACATGTGTAGTCAGCCAATCAGGGGTATTGCTTCAATGTGATGTCACGTCCCCTCAATAAGCCCTTTTCAAAGTAAGAGCTAACGCTTCTCGGATAGGTGGGTTGGGCTCACTGCCAGTTGCTGGTGTCACCGCACTGACAGGCGGGCAGAGCCTCTGCAGACACAGCCTGGGCAGTGCTGGGGAAGGAAGGACGGACGGACCGACGGACACTCTCAAGATGGGTTGTCAGGTAAGCGGTCGCTCGATCAACTAATTATGTGACATTTAATAAAGAATAATGTTATCGCAGCCCAGTAACCGTTAACGTTATGCACCACCGTTAAAACTGTCCAGAACCTGGCTCACCAACAGCCTGGCGTTAGGCTTGTGCGGACTACACGACTTTCAGCGTCGGCTGAACAAATGGCATTGTGTAAATTTGCACTTGCGCGTTGAGTTTTAATCAAGTCCCCAAACTTGTCCAGCTAACGTAATATCATTTAGCTTTGGCTATAATTGTATAACCAAACGTGTTTACAGCATATGAACAACAGCACATACAGCTAGCTAGCCATACCGCACCAAACAAACGTTCGCAGGGGACGCATCGGCGTCAGGACCCCCGCCGAAATCTCGACCTTATTACTGGGAACTAAAGGACACTGCCTCCCCGTAGCATTTATTTTTATGGCATGGCAAATATGTAATGATTAACCGAACAGAGCATTAATGTTAACTAGAACGACCCCTCTGTTGTATCGCAGCTTTTGTCTGGTAAAAAAACCTACTAGCGTTTCCGAAAGCAATGTGCTCATGTCTTTTATATTTTGTTTTTTTTCCCCCTCTGTCTGCAGAATCCTGACCGGAGGCGCCCAATCCGTATCCAGAACTGCCAAACTGCTGTGGTTGTGTTTGTTTGTTTTGTTCTTTTAAGAACTTGATGGCTTTATCCAGTTTGATATTAAATTTGTTATGAACTTTAATTGTGTGTCTCTTCATTTTACTCACACACAAAGTAGCTATTTTTATTGGTCAGGCATATTGTTTTGCATTATATTCCCATCAAATCTGATGTTCATGTATAGCCCACACTTAGGTCATGGATTGGATGGTTTTACGCCCATTCGGCAGGTGAGGGCAAAATTAAGGGAATGTTCTGTGTGCGGGGGTGTTAAAAAGACTCTTAAGCCTCTCTGGGACAGTCTAGTCCATATTTGAGGGCCCTAGCTGTAGTGGTTTTTGATCTGGCCCAGGGCTTAAGTGTAAATATCCTAAATCACCCTTTTTATAGTGTTTTCACAAACAGGAAAAAGTGGGTTTCTGGCAGCATTAAGGTGTTTGAAAACCTGGTTGAGTAAAAATTGTACCTAAATTTTACCTAAAGTATGAAAAGGACTCATAATGCAGTAAAATGTTCCTGTCAGTGTTGCATTATTATATCTGATGTTTCTGCTACACTAGGCCCTATCTTGCATTTTACTGTGATTGTTATGTAAAATCATTTTTGGGTTGTTTTAATGGAAAGTCTTTAATCATAGACCCAGTGCAAACTTATTGTTCTCCCCCTCTAATCAATGTGTTCTGGTAAGCTGTTTCTGTAGAGTGGTGGCAGAAGTATTCACTTTATTTAGACTACTTCAGTAAAAGTACTACTACCACACAGTGAAAATACTGCAGATTGTGCTATGTCCCAGCCTTGACAAGCCCCCAATTCACTCAAGGATTTACCACACTTTAATTCATTTCAGTTTGCACTTTTCATATAGAGCAGGTCTAGACAGTACTCTGTGATAAAATTTCCAGAGAACCAACAATTCTCACCAAGAGCAAGCACTAGGCAACAGAGGCAAGGATAACTTCCTTTTAAGAGGCCTTTTGTGTACATAGATAAAGTCTTAGATATCTAAGACTATAGTGTAGCTCGTGATGAATGGGGGCAAAAACATATATATAAAAAATACAAAGGATTGTGGGTATGTACAATATTTACATTATTAAAGAATTACGGTAAACAATATCTAGGCTTATATATCTATAAATATATATGTAATAAACCATATATATATGATAGAGATAGATAGATGGTTTGGGGTTAGAAACTTTCGCTGGCTTTTCTACTGCCGTTCTACTCTCTGAGGTGCTCTGGCGCCCTTGACTCACAAAGTATGCGCCACGGTGGCACATTTTTGCAAAAATGCACACTACTCTTAGTACCTGCACTCTCACCTCACAAGGTCTTGGGTTCGAACCTTGGTCGCTCCAGGCCTTACTGCGTGGAGTCTGTATGTTCTCCCTGTGTCTGCGTGGGTTCTCTCTGGCTTGCTCCCACCATCCAAATACATGCAGGCTAGGTTAACTGATGACTCTAAATTGTCCTTAGGTGTGAGTGTGACTGGTTGTTTGTCTATGTGTACCCCGCCCGGATTGGCTCCAGCCCTGCCGCGACCCTGTGCACAGGATAAGCGGCTGACAATGGATGGGGTGTCCTTGGAAAGTAGGCCTTGGCCACAGTAGCCTACAGTGGCAAAAAGCACATTTTCCTACCGAGAAAGCCTCAAACTCCCATGCAGTACAGGTTAAACTTGAAAAATTAGCATATCGTGCAAAGGTTCATTTATTTCATTAATTCAACTTAAAAGGTGAAACTAATATATTATATAGACTCATTACATGCAAAGTGAGATATTTCAAGCCTTTATTTGATATAATTTCGATGATTATTGTGTACAGCTTATGAAAACCCCAAATTCAAAATCTCAGAAAATTAGAATATTCCATGAAATCAATAAAAAAAACAGAAAGGATTTTAAATACAGATATAATAAACATGATTGTGTTTTGTGTTTACAAGTTGTAATATCTGTTTGTGACTTTTAGTCTGTCCATTTTCAATGTTTTTGGCACCGATTTTGAGCCACTCTGATATGACTCTTATTGGAAGTAGATCTGAGTAGTAGATCCACAGAGGCTGTGGCAAACCAATAGCTGCTTGAGTTTGTAATCAAGTAAATAGCTGAACTACTTGCTATCACAGGATATAGGCTATGTGCCCATTGATGCGCACACATATGTAAGAATACTCTTTATTGATTATAGCTCTGCTTTCAACACAATCCTGCCTAACAAACGCGTTACCAAATTGCAGGACCTAGGACTTAACACATCATTGTGCAACAGTCCGTCAGACTTAGCAAGTAAAGCCTAGTTCACACTACATGATTTTAAGCCCGATTTACAGTTCGGCGAGCTCTGTGACCGTCGGGCTGTGATCAGGGGTAAATCAGGGATTGATTGGCGGTCGCCAGTCGTTATGTGTGAACTAATCAACGACACATCAAAACGGTTCCCCGACACATTTATGACACATCGCCGACGTCTGCCAGATATCTAGCATACCAAATATCTGGGAGAGTCAGCCGACTCCACATCCACATCCAGCCAAGAAGCCAACTAGTAGTATGGTGTAATAGTTACAACCTGGCTCTGAAAATCATGAAGACCAGGGATGGGATCGTGGACTTTTGCAAGTCAGGACAACACACTTACACCTCACTCTATACAAGGAGTGAGGCAGTGGAGAAGCTCGCCAAATTCAAGTTCCTGGGCCTAACAGTGACGAAGGAACTGTCCTGGAGCACCAATGCCGCCTCAGTGATTGTGAAAGCCCAACAGCGCCTCTTTTGCCTGACAAAACTGAAGAAAGCAAACGATCCGCAGAAGCTCCTGGTGAATTTCTACCACACTTCCATTGAAAGTATGCTGAAATACTTCGTGTCAGTGTGGTTCACCAGTTACATGAAGGCAGAACAGCAAGCTCTTGAGGGAGTAATAAAGACAACTGGGAAAATCATCGGTCCCAGTTACCAGATGTCACCACCATCTACACCTCCCGCTGCCTACGTCGATCTCGCAGCATCATCATAGACCAGTCCCATCACTTGTTTGACCTCCTGCCCTCAGGAAGATGATACAAGTCTTTCTGAGCAAGGACTACCAGAATGATGAGCATTTATTTCCCCCAGGCAGTGAGGCTGTTAAAATCAACTCTCCAAGCCCCCACCCCTCCTGTTTCATCCCAAAATCCAGCCTTACTCAACAGTATGTTGTACAGTACCTATACAAAAGGTAATCAACATCTAAGCATTTAAGATAAATGCACATTTTAGCTTGTATTTTTATTGTTACATTTAATGAAATATCTTTAAATGACATCCAAATGAATCAACAATCTATGTAAGTCTATGTAAATGAGCCTTTAGGCAGCATTGTGAGGACAGTATGTTTCTTTATGTTGCTTTCACAGAAATTAGGCTAAAAGATTCCAGAAGCGAACAGGGATAGAGGGCAACACTCTCCAAATGTTAATTTCTTTGTGGCTGCACCGAGTAGCTGTACCACATTGAAAATGGCCTCCCATGAAGCGCAGACTGGGACCTCACACAGCTAATCTTGATTGACTTTTCCATTTTGACTTTAATATTGAGCTCAGATCATACTCCTGCTGTGTCCTCTTTGAAGAAGATGAGTAATAAGATGTCTCCATTTTTATTGCCTCTGACCTTTTGCCGTCCATATTAGTGTACGTTCATGGCCCGAACCTTACCTCAATCAAGCCCAGTACTCTTTTGGATGAGATTCTGTCATGTGGTATTTCTATAGTTATAAAGAAAGCATATGTTTTCTCCCCTAGGTCAAAGGGTTTAAAAGGTAACAAACCTGACCTCAAAGATGGTCTCTTTGAGGTGTGTGTATGTGTGTGTATAATCCTTGATAAATAGTGTGGGCAGACATAGACAAAAACGAAAAAACAAAGCAGCAGAAGAAGAGGTCAAACAGCAGCAGGACTGCTCTTGCATTCTAATCAGCGTCCCCTGTTTTGGCTCCCAGGAAGGTCTCACTCAACAGGCCAGGACATTGTACATCTCATCAGTGCCTGCACAGATACAGAGTAAACACACACACATATACAAACACACACACACATTGACTGAGCAAAATGAGTCTGTCTAGGACTGTGGGGAAATAGCCGATACGAAACAAGGCGGCAAAACGCAGGACAGACAGAAAAATTAGGTGACCCCCCTAAAATGAGCCCACTGTCCGTTTCTGGAAAGCTGCATGAATCTGACTAATTTTAGATCAACTTCAATAAAAAGCTTGCACAAGCTGTGACAGAATATATGTGGTACTGTCAGAACACCATAAAGCTACTTAAAGGGACAAAGAAGGGACAAAGGGTTTACTGTTAAACCAGCAAACAGCTGCTACTGCTGTATGTGGGATTTATCGCTTATGTATTTGTGATATTGCTAGGCTTTTTGCAGCATGATTTGTTTTCAGAATAACATATTGACATATTGTATCCAAGAGCACAGCAGTGAAACACATTAAAGTACTTGCATGGGGTAAACAGAGGAGGTCTTTAAGTCCTTGATAAATAGTAAACTGTTGCCAGATAAATCACAAGTTATGACCACTGGTGGTACAGATATTCATTAGAGTAGAGAATATCTGATTTAGAAAATAATTACATTTCAAATCCATCATTTCTGAGGAGAACTCTACAGTGTATATTTTATTCCGAACTGACTTTATGGCTGTTGGTCACCAATGAAATGCTTTACCACACACTTCTGTATCTTATACTGTGCCATACCGTCCTTGGTGTAATTACTGACCCCAGTGCTGCAGGTTTAATAAAATGCTTTTATTTGCAATCCTAAATAATTGAATCCATAGGAGAACCTCATTCTAAAGGACAAGCAAACGCAGTTGTAGCTCACAAGTCATTTCATGGTGATACCAAGGTCAAGGCACATGTTCCTTCAGTATACTACTGAAACATCACAGAATTGCTACACAGATGGGTAGACTCTATGCAAGGACCTCAAACCATCCCTGACTGAATACATTTCAACAGTCTATTCTGGTAGCATGAGCAATAATCAGAATCAGAATCAGAAGGAACTTTATTGCCAAGTAG